TTTAAAACGACCTGGACCTTGTCGGGGTCATTCATGAGGCCCTCAGTGCTAACGATGTGGCCAAGAAGTCGAATTTGTATCTGAAGAAACTTGTATTTCCTTGGATTAAGCGTCAACTCGGCGTCCTGGTATCTCGTCAGAACCTCCCACAGGTTGTCCAGGAGTTCTGGGACGGTGGCTCCTCACACGATTACGTCGCCCAAGTACACGAGGCACTTAGGTGGACACAGATTTTGCTGGATTTTCTGCATAAGGCATTGGCAGGTAGCCGCCGCATTAGCCAAACCCATGGGTAGCGTGTTGAACTCAAATAGTCCTGGTGGCAGGGTAAAGGCGGTCTTTGCACGATCTTCTGGGTAAACTTCAACCTTCCAATAGCTTGAAGGCAGATAGAGGGTTGGTAAGAATTTCTTCTTGGGACATAGACGATAGGAGGTTGTCCATACGGGGAGGGGAAAGGAGTCTCTGACGGTGACTGCATTCAGTCGCCTGTAGTCGACGCAGAGCCACAGGGAATTATCTTTCTTCTTAACCAAGGTTACCGGAGCTGCTTACATGGAAAAGGACGATTATATATATATGTATATTTAAGGGTGACAGGCAAGAAACGATTGTTGTAGCCTGTTTTCTACCAAGTTATCCAATTCAGCCCTGAAGTAAAACGGTATTCGTGGGGGCGGGAGGTGTTGCGGAGCGGTGGTTCCGGTGTTTATTGGGAGCTCCACGCTGTTAGTCCGTCCAATTGCCTGGTCTGCCAATGTTAAAACGGAGCTGAACGGCACCAAAGCGTGTTAGGCGGCCCGACGATCAGACATCGGTATGTTGTCTAGCATAATTTCTTCGGTTGAAGAGGGCTTGGCAGATGGGAATGTGGAGGCTTCGACGCTGTTTAGCTCCGTTGTAACCGTGTCGTCCTCAAGGAGGATTGGATATTTGGATTTGGGGAGGAAGTAATGGCTTGGGCATTTTGCTTAAGGAAATCACATCCCAGAATTGCATTTCATTTGGGTTCAGAGGAAGCGGGGATGCGGTGACGGATAGTTCTATTTTTGATAGAGACTAGGACTACTGCGGAACCGCTATGAGCGAGGGGGATTGTTGAGGATCGGAATTTGGGGCAACTCTGAATGCGTGTGGGGCGTGCCGTGCAGAAGGCAATCGTGGATCAGGGAGAATGCTGTCCTATGTCCACTAAAATGCTAACTTTCTTGTCAGTTACTTTGCCCGAGACTGTCAGTGGCTTAAGGTCAGATGATAGTGTAAATAGAGTTGTAAGAGTTAAGGGATGTCGCCTTGAATTGTGGCCACAGAATCTGGTGGCGTTGTCAAACCGTTCGCAATAAGAGCAGTCCACGTTCGTTCGTGTAGTTTGGGGTTTTGACGGTGGCCGGTTGAAGAACGGGTTGGAGTAGGGCGGTCGTGATGGAACTAGTAAGACCAACAGGTGACCTCGCGATGTTGTTGGCATGGTAGTTCGGGGTTCCTGTGCCAGGAGAAATCGGTCGCGCCGCATCGCATTCAGGTCGAGGGCCTCATTTGCATTGGTAGGGGGCCGACTGGTGCAGATAATTGCGAGTTCCCTATTGCGTATGCCGCTGATGAGGCGGTTAAACGACAGGGCCTTGCCACCGTGGGGAGGGAAAGCAAGAAAATAAAGATGTTTCAATGCGATGTGGAAGTTGCGAAAATTCTCGCCTTCGAGTTGGTTTCGGGAAAAGGAACTCTTTCTTGACTGAAATATTCGTTCTATTGCGTTAAGATATTCGGTGAAAAAAAACGGACTGGGGATAGGGCCATCTGCCTTGTACATAAGGTCGGGCTCCAAAAGGGATTTGAGTGTCGCCTTCTTAAAGCGTTCAGGAACGGCATCTATATATGCTTGAGCAGTCGACAACCACTGGAAAAATATCTTCATCTTGTAGGATAGGCGGATCGGTGGACTGGGATGTGAAAAAAGTAGGTGTCACATATAATGCGGACTTTGGAACTGGCCGTTGTTGCACTGTATTGGGAAGTTCGAAAGGACGGTGGGTGAAAGGAGTTGGCGTGGGTCCTGGGACGGGCTCTTTCTTTTCGAACATCGTTGCCACCATTTGTAATGTCCTGAACTGGCCAAGGGCCTATCGAGATGTGTTACTCCGAGAATACTTGGTCTCCTAGAAGATGTACAACTCACTCAACGCAGCAGAACAGGGGAATCTGATGAAAAGTTTACTTACTGATGGTAGGAAGGGGAACACGATGGGATGTTCCAGGAGTTAGGTTTAATAAAAAGGGTCACGTTGAGGTTGTAAATAAAAGGGCAGATCTCAAAGTTAAAAAAATAATAACAATATTACCAGGGAAGTGTCTTAAACGTGCACATAAAAGATGGCAAGTAATAAATTTATTTATGAACAATTTTATGCATAACAACGGCCATATTTAAAATTTCAAAAAGGCCAGCCTGCTTGTATGGTAGTGTTACGGAGGCGGGATCCCCCATGCACTTACGACAGACCAACTGAGTCATAGCTGTAGAGGCTATATCACTACAAATATACAAAACGTCTTAGTAAATACGCAA